CTAACTTATCTTAACTATACTTAAACACTACCTTCTAACTAACTTATCTTAACTATACTTAAACACTACCTTCTAACTTATCTTAACTATACTTAAACACTACCTTCTAACTTATCTTAACTATACTTAAACACTACCTTCTAACTTATCTTAACTATACTTAAACACTACCTTCTAACTAACTTATCTTTACTATACTTAAACACTACCTTCTAACTAACTTATCTTAACTATACTTAAACACTACCTTCTAACTAACTTATCTTAACTATACTTAAACACTACCTTCTAACTAACTTATCTTAACTATACTTAAACACTACCTTCTAAATAAATCTATGTTATCTTAACTATACTTGAACACTACCGTATCTTTACCATAATCTCTTAATCTACTATCCTTAAAGTTAAACACTAATCTCTATCTAATTTAACTACATCTATAGACACTATCTTAACATGATCTATCTTATCCTAACTATACTAAAATACCATCTGAACTTAAACCCTGACTTCTAGCTTGATCTATCTTAACAATACTTAAACACTATTTTATCTATCTTTTCTCAACTTATGAAATGGAAAGAAAATGGGGTGGAATGTAAAAAAAAACAGACGCCTGCTGTGATATCCCCTGTAAAAGCACAAAACTACACACAACTCTCCTCCCTCCTGTAAAAAAAAAGACACATTATATACGTTGTCTCCCCTGTAAAAACACAAAACTACACACAACTCTCCTCCCTCCTGTAAAAAGATACAGACACAAGTATACATAGTCTCCCCTGTAAAAACACAAAACTACACACAACTCTCCTCCCTCCTGTAAAAAAAAAGACACATTATATACGTTGTCTCCCCTGTAAAAGCACAAAACTACACACAACTCTCCTCCCTCCTGTAAAAAAAAAGACACATTATATACGTTGTCTTCCCTGTAAAAACACAAAACTACACACAACTCTCCTCCCTCCTGTAAAAAGATACAGACACAAGTATACATAGTCTCCCCTGTAAAAACACAAAACTACACACAACTCTCCTCCCTCCTGTAAAAAAAAACCAGACAAGTATACGTAGTCTCCCCTGTAAAAACACAAAACTACACACAACTCTCCTCCCTCCTGTAAAAAAAAACAGACAAGTATACGTAGTCTCCCCTGTAAAAACACAAAACTACACACAACTCTCCTCCCTCCTGCACAACAGACACAAGTAGTCTCGTCTTTAAAAATACAAAACTACACACAACTATCGTCCCTCCTGTAAAAAAAAACAGACACCTGTGGTCTCACATATATATTAAAATACGTCAATATATGTCTAAACACAAAACTACAAACAACTCTCGTCCCATCTGTGAAAAAAACAAGACACCTGTAGTCTCACCTTTAAAAATACAAAACTACACACAACTCTCGTCCCATCTGTAAAAATACAACAGACACCTGGTCTCACCTGTAAAACACAACTAACAAGCACATGTAGTGTCAGATATAAAAACACAAGTAACAGACACCTGTAGTCTCACCTTTAAAAAACACCTGTTGTCTCACCTTTAAAAAAAACTTACTAGTATAACACAGCTTAAAAGCACAGAGTACACACAACTTACAGACAGCTCTTACATGTATCTTACCTGTTAAAACAGAAAACTACATGGTTTGTTCTATGTTTAAATATGTAATCAAAATAAAGTAAACTTGGCCGGTTTTTTTCAATGTTCTGGTGATGGGACATCATCAACATATGCTTGGCAATATCGGTACACTGTTTCCTGCATAGAGGCATTATCAGTTTTAGTGTTTCACCAAGCTTAGAGGTTTAATCCTTGGTTTCACATAGCCGGTGTAACAGTGGTATAATGCAGATAGCACTATTGGGTTTGGCCATTGATTGAAGCCTTCAGTTAAAGAAACTAAACAAGGACTCATAAAAGTACTTTCCAACATTTCAATCACAAAAATTCTTATGACTCCCAAATATATGTAAATCAAATGGGGTAACAGTACTTTTGACCTAATTTCCTCACCACAGGCAGGCAAAACCTCATTACTCAGGTCTCTCATTAAGACATTATGCCCACTAAACTGGAGAAAACAACAAGACTTCACCAAACCAAAGTAGGAAAGTTTAGACTCTTACTGTTCCTTCTAGCCAAAAAGTCTCCAAACTGGACCAAAGTTTTCAGGAAAAAAGGGATTTTCAAAGACAGCAGTAACAACTAGCGACTATAAAAAAATAATTTTCAACAATCCACTGCTGGTGGTAATCTGCCCAGAGGTTTGCCGCCCCCCTTAGGGAAACAGTTGCAGACTGACTAGTGAAAATACAGGCTACATAAAATCAACAACACGACAATCTAAATATAAGAACAAAGTCAGCTTTCATAATATCTTTCATCTATTACATATTACTGTAGTCATTTGACAAGGTATTGCAGTAGGTGCAAACCACAATCCCAAAAGATACTCGCAACCATTATGCACAACAGCCACCTAATATCTGCTTAGATAACGTTGGCTACCAGACAACTACCTAAACCTACATTTGTACAGCCTATTCCACAGGATTGTAAAAGTAGGGATGTTTCTAAAATATGCATTTACTTCAATATCAGAACTGCTATGGTGAAAATAAAGACGTGCATCATCACGGACATAATGGCACACCACATGCCCATTACACAGTAATACTACTTACAAAGGGAACCCCGTGTTCTAGCTGCGAACACGAAAAAAAAGCCTGCTCACAACACTCCGTCCGGAGGTCATGACCTCCATCACGAAGTAATAAAGGATTCAATTGTATTTTGACTTTCAAACCAGGTATTTTGACTTCCACACCTATGAGAACCCCAAAATTGACCAGCATGCACGTTCTTGTACCATATCCATGACATTTACATCAATATCCATCTTTGTTTTGGTTCCAACAAACATAAGAATTATTTCTCAGGGGGTCCCGGGGGAGCCAGATATTAACTTGAGGACTACAATCGTGTTCCAATTTTGGAGCCTCTACTGCACAACCCAATAGTGATGCCTGCCCTATATCACTGGTTTAACACTGGAATTACAATACTAAAAAATCAATCAAGTTCTGTAATGCCCCTACCATCAAATCCATCATGTTTCCCGTGCCCTCTTTTCACTTGGCTTGACCAAGGTCACCATTTGGACAGGAAAGCTTTTCGGAATTCCTGTGGATTAAAGAAATGACACAATCAGAACATATATAAGTTACTCTACTTTGACAACATTTCATATATGTAGGATATAGATTTGCAAGACACACACACACACACACACACATGTATACACACACACACACACACACACACACAAATGTACACACACACATGTACACACACAATGTATACACACACACACATGTACACACACACACACACACACACACAAATGTACACACACACACATGTATGTACACACACACATGTACACACACACACATGTACAAATGTATACACACACACACACACACACACACACATGTATACACACACACACAAACACACACACATGACGTACACACACAATGTATACACACACACACACGTTTATACACACACACACACACACATGTACACACACACACACATGTATACACACACACACACACACACATGAACAAGACATACAATACATATATGTGACCAAGACCCTTGCCCTTAGCCTGGTTATTAAATTCTTAATTGTATACTGGTGCTACTATATTAGCCTGGCTGCCACCCGATTTGTAACCGTAATAAATCGGATGGCAGCCAGGCTACTACTAAATAGCCTGGGTACAACTGGGTTTTGCTCGCATGATTTTTTCTAGCCTAGTGGGTCAAAATCCAGATTGTACCCAGGTTTGTGCCCATACTCGCTCCCCTATAATAGCCTGGGTTAGATCAAGTTGGTTTGGTGATGATGTCATGTGAGCCATTTTGGAATAGATCTGTATCTGTATAGCTAGTATAACCCGCCCTTTTGGTTAACATAACAGCAGCTCTGCTGCAGGTACGTGGTGCAGTGGCAGCTAGTTATATTACACGGAACGACCTGTCACACCCACTCTTTCCATATCTAACTGTAGGTTAGCTGTTCTACAACTGTTTTCCAGCCGGTTTGAAAATGGTATACGATTTCTTTCAGTTTCACGCAGGTAAAAACAGGTATTGATCATTAATGAAGATGATGAACAACTTAGCTTAATTTTTAGCAAACCTATGAACAGGGGAAACATGAAGTGTGCCTTAATACTGAAAAGAAAGCAGAGTACTAGTAGCCTGGGTACCATCCTGGTTAGTTTACGTCCGCTCCTCACTGGTTGGTGGTAGTGACTGTAGGAGCGGACGTAAACTAACCAGGATGGTACCCAGGCTAGAGTACTAGTATGCCCCCTACCATCTCTGCCTCTTGTTCTGGCGTAGGAGCGTGGTTCCAATTACTGGTGCTTCTGCTACGTTGATGATTCCAGCTGGGTGATCCAGCAAGCTTTTAGACAGGAAGAGAAACGATACATTTTTAACTTATTGTAATCTAAAAACTTAACTTGACGTTCTGATGATGAAAACATGTTAAAAACAATTACTGCTAATACTAACGTTATCTGTCCTGGACCAACCACTCTTACTTGACCCCATAATGTAACGTATGGGCAAAATATGTCGCCTCATGCCCTCCCCCCGTCGTGATATGACCTATTTACGTATCGTCATATGGTGTTTTCGGCCTCCTGGGCCCTGGGCAGCTCCGCTTGATAGCATAACCGTTCCACTGTATTCTCAATGAAATAAATTCTTCCAAAATCGAAACGTTAGAAATGGAGGTCATGCACGTAATTATATTACGTTAACTTACTGTAACGCGATTTGAAAGAAATAAGGTTTACTAAGTGTACTCTACTCTACTCTACTTCTACAACAAAAAAATACTTTTACCTTTCGCGGTGTAGTCCAAAAGAAAGAAAGCATTTTGTAGCTGTTTTCAGGACAGAGCGTGGCTCAGCTTGTAAGGTGTTGTCACCACTGGTAACGTTGCTTTTGTGATATCCATGTCCTGTTGCGTTGTGGACTGGGAGCTCGGACTGGCGCTACTGCGAGTTTCCAAGTCCAGCTCTTCTTCCCCTTCAAGTCTGTACTTGTCTTCCAGCTGTACACAACGTCAACCTTGAGGGTTTGTGTACTGTCCGCGAAGAGGGTGATTGGGGAGTGAGCCTCATGGCCTATCCACGGAGGTAGAGATTTTGACTCCTGTGCTCTTTTTAACTCCATGGCCTAGCACCAGAGCACGTCACGCCAGCGGAACCAGCCGAATCCGGATACCGCGCCAACCGCCTGTACAAACTCCCATCATGCTACGGGTTTTTCCACATTTAAAAAAAAAATTCTTTTCCTGGGCACATTTTTGCTCAGAAAGGCCCAGATTTCAGGTAAAAAGGACAGAAAAGTGTATACTTTAATAATCTTTCTAATTTGAATGCTGGCCCTGGAATTGACCCCTTACCGGTTGGACTGGCCCACTTGGATATAGGGGTCATTTATATTCATTGAACTGGCCTTACACTTTTTCTATCCGAAGAAACCTGAGTAATCAAGCTTTGCAGAGGGGGTAAGGACTTGATATTTGAAATAAAGGTAATGCTTGTTTACCGTGGTTTCACCATAACGTTAAATTCCATTTTATCTACACGTTGAAGTTAACGTTTAAATTAACAGTTACATTTTTACTGCAAAGGTGACAAAGGTTCACTCAAGGACATTATACACAGTGTATAATGTCCTTGGTTCACTGTAAACGATGAACTAAGTGGTTTGTAAACCTTTATCTATCACAGTATTTTTTATCAATTACAAGCTGTCAATAATAAAAAGCATCCCATGCCCGGGGACACCGCCCCCCCCCCATTAGTGCACCAAAATAGTCATGGGAGGATGGTTGTGATACAGGACGGTGTTTTGTGTTAAAGAAAAGGGATTTTGTGTGTGTAGGGACAATCTAGCTGTGGATTAATATTCTTAGCTGTAACGTTATGTGTGTAGATTTGGGGCTTTGTAACTATGAATGCATCTTTCATTGTGATTTCAAATAATGTCCTCTCTCCAACAGGTGTCAATCTATCACCTCCCTGGCTGTTCAAGTAGTCTCCACTTGGTAGAGTTTGTATGTATTTGTATCATTGTATGTGCCTGGTATGGTTTAGTATAGCTAAAGATCATGGCACAAGGCTTGAAATTGATGGTGTCCCAATGGCCACTGACCACTAAAATTTAGGCCAGGACAGCTAAAATGTAAAAGACACTTTGTGACATTTTGGGACAAAGAAAAATAATCGACATCAGAATGTCAGCCCTTCTTTGCTTTATCAGGCACACATGGCTTTTGTCTCCAGAAACCCCGGGCCCCCTCCCCCAATTTCCTGTATACACTGAGCAATTATAGCATACCTGAGAGTCAGAACATTAGCAAAATAAAGTTGACTTCAAGTAAGTCCTTCCTTAAAAACAGGTTCAACATCATGGGGACCATTCATCAAATCCTCACTTCCAGACAACTGAAACTTGTGATGTGCTGTTTTTGTCATATTTATTCAAGTGGAACGCTTCATTTCATGGCAATATACTTAATCTTACGTAGCATTCAGTCTGTCATGTTCTCGTGCTCGAATCAGATGCTTTCTTTTCTTGCCCCTAAACAATACAAATTGAAACTGAATGAAATGATTTCTGATAATAATCTTGATACAAACTTTAATAGATACAAAACTATACTGTAATTGATGCAAAACAAATTAAAAGGTGTTTTAACTACCTGGCATTTGTGAGTGGTTGAGACAGTTATATACTTGATATACAGGTCTCTAAGGACATGTTTTGAAAGAAAATGTTATACATCACTTGGAATCTAGGAATAACAACTATTGACACAAAATTTAAAGAATTTTTTGAAGGGTTGAGATACAGTAACAAGAGTTTAGAATGTGACATAGACTTTTTCTTACTACTCAATGTCTAAATACCAGTCTTAAAGATTATTTTGGAGAAAACTATAAGTCTAAGCATAAACTATTAAAACAAAATAAAAATCTGAAAAGATGTTGACTGCGTGAGTGGTTTGGACAGTAAAAATCTTCAGATTGAGAGAAGACTGGACTGGACTCTATGTGACCAAATATAAGGAGATATTTTGGGGAAATCTATCACTTGATAGATGTTCAAACCATATAATGGTCACTCAAATATGTAAAAATCAAGAGCAAAACAAATATTTATATAAGCACTGAATAAAGGTCATCTTTCACTGAAAATCTTTTAACTTGATAGTGATACGCATACATTATTGGCCATGTTGTCCTGATCCATGGCCAGGCGGAAAACGCTGTCCGACTGGTCCATGGCCAGGCGGAAAACGCTGTCCGACTGGTCCATGGCCAGGCGGAAAGCGCTGTCCTACTGGAGTGGCGAGGTTCCTGGGGGGTCGGGATTGAGATGGAGTGGTGAGGTCCCGGGAGAGTCGGGGTTGAGACGGATCGTCTGTGTCCCTGTAGCGTTGGGGTCCCTGCTGAAAGCGCTGTGCTTGCTGCCTTGAGGGGTAGGGGTGGTGGCGTGGTGCCCCGTGAACACCATAGCACTGAAAAAAAAAATTCTATTAAAAATTTTTGCAATTACTACAATGGTTTAATGCCCATCTCTGACTATATTGAGCATAAACAAAATGATAAAGTCTACTCAAAAAGATAACTATCAATTTCCCTGATTTTTTTTTAAGTGGCGAGGTATAAGTTCCTTAATTTGTTGCTGATAGGGAGTGATGTACTCAAGGGGGAGCACCATCAGGAGTACTTGTTTTTCCTTTGTTCTAGTAAGCGTGAAGCACGATATCTGTATATAAAGCGTTGTTCAAATTGAAGATTTGGGACCTGTGATGAGCATTTGAACATCAAATGTCATGTACATGTACTGAAGTGCAAGACAAACTTACCCCAGTTGCTGGCTCTGTGGTCCTAGCAGCTGGAAACCTGTCCTCCCAGGACTGCCTCTATTGTACAGAAAAACAGGATACATCAATAATCAACAACAGGAGAATCGTTGTATATCAATATACAAATATTGTAGATTGTATCCAGTTTGAATTTGATACTAGTAATTGATGCACATGAGCAATTAACACTGAAAAGATCTTGTAACATGAGACTATTACCACAATTTCAGCTACAGGGTCAGCGGTCTCCTGGGCAGTTTGATCTCCAGTCGCGGGGGGGTCAGCGGTCTGCTGGGCAGTTTGACCTCCATTGGCGGGGGGTTCAGCGGTCTGGTGGGCAGTTTGACCTCCAGTGGCGGGGGGGTGACCGGTGTGGTGGGCAGTTTGACCTCCAGTGGCGGGGGGTTCAGCGGTCTGGTGGGCAGTTGGACCTCCAGTGGCGGGGGGTTCAGCGGTCTGGTGGGCAGTTGGACCTCCAGTGGCGGGGGGTTCAGCGGTCTGGTGGGCAGTTGGACCTCCAGTGGCGGGGGGGTGACCGGTCTGGTGGGCAGTTGGACCTCCAGTGGCGGGGGGGTCACATCTCTGCACCTCTTGGGCCAACTCGTTGTCCTGATGTCGGCGTAGTATCTGGCCCTGTCTGATGCGGTCCCTAGTTTATTTGAATACAGTAAGATACTATATCAGAAATCAAAATCTTATGATATTGTGAAATCTACATGTGCAATTTGTTCCATTTTGTTCTACAAGCAATATCATTGACATACGGGTATTAACTGCTTGGCAGAAACATTGCAATGTCAGGTTCATGTGGAATTTTTATTTTGCTGTTGGATACTAGAAGATAAAAGACGCAAATGATGTTTGATGCACATGAGCTGCAAGTGTGTTAAAATATGACCCACAATCCTTTTCACATCTAGGCCTATAAGAAATGTGTTGCCTTAAATACCAAACAATAAATGAAGCATTGTATTACTATCAGTTATCAATACAAAACATACCTGTTTCTCTGAAAAGCCTCTAGGTACAACTGGCCGTTAGTAATGCCATCAAGGATTGTCAGACCAGTTGGAACAGTGTCTGCAAATATGACACACAAATATCAATATTTGACAAATGATGAAGTGACAAATGATATAATTAACAATTCTGCAAAATGTGGGCAAGACCTCAAGAACCAATGCTCAGGTGTATCTGGAAGTGCTTGATTGTCATGTGAAGAGGAGCTAATTCCCGTCTTACTGAAATTGGCCTAGTTTGAGTTAGGTATATAGGACAGCATATGGCATTCAGTAAATGTAATGTTTAAGATTATGAAAACCTTACCTTCGAACCTGTGAAAGATGCACATTTGGGCATGTCCCCTTGGAGCGAGGAGCAGCATCACTGGGCTAGCATGCGAACGACTGTACTGAGCAACTGCAGTGAAAAAAAGGCAAATTGAATGTGTTTTCTACCAACGACTTTCTACGGGAAGTCCAATTTCACAACATGTAAACAGAGCTGAGCAAAGGATTGTGATGAAACAATTTTCCAAATGTCGAAAGCTAAAATTAGACCGTAATTAGGCCTTGATTTAAAAACATTGCCTCACACTCTTGGGACACAATTAGAATGAATTGAGGTAGTCCTATTGTCAATCTTTAGTGTAGGAAAATGAACGATTGCTTTCAATACGACATCTCTTCAATTTTTAAAGTGGCAAGTGTTTTTTTATTTTCAATTACTCCAGGAAGACAAGCTTCATACTTGATTTTATACCACTATCTTGTATGTGGCTAATTGGAGGTTTAATGAAGCACATAATGAATCACATAATTACCTTCATTGGCGTCCTGTGTGTCTCGCTCATATGGCCAGAAGTATGTGGTGGCAGCTTCGGCGCCTGCGTTCCTGTAGTTTAATACATGCAAATTACTTCATTAGTTGTCGTAAAGCACATTTTAAAGTGCCTGAAAGCTGTGTCTATCTTTTGGAAAGCTTGCAAAATGAGTCCTCTCGACAATTGGAATGGTATACAGCATATCCAAAACATGTCATACATCAAAATGCCAGACCTTTGCTTGTGAATTATGTGTGATAGTTTTCAAATAATAATAACATGATAGCCAAAAAACAATATGACATAAAAAGATGCTGTCTTGTCTTATTGTTCAAAAGCACTGAGTTTACCTGAGCATGTCTCTCGTGCAGTTGATCGTTTCCTCACTGATCAGCAGTACAAGGAGCAGTCTGCCATCCATGCATGACTGGGAACACATCTATCAGAATAAATGGAGGATTAATCCTTCAAAATCCTCTACATGTATAAAAAGTCATGATTTTCTACTACTGATATGAACTACATTCACTCTAAATGCAACCCCGCCCCCAATTCCCAGTGAACATGATAAAGATGGGGACCAACATGAGAACCAAAATGACAGTGCCAATATGAACAGTAGTCGAACCATTCTCAAGATTACTAGCTAAAAATTCACGATTTTTTAAATGACCAGCGATTGTTTAGTAATATTAGGAATGTGTTAGGAAAGAAAGTTTTGAGGAAGTTACATCTACCTGTCTAAAAGGCAAAGGCCACACATATGGCACACGACCAGACTGCCCAACGATGAGCCTCATGAGAGCCTGTAGCTGAGCTGCTCTGCCAATCCGGCCACTGATCCCTTCTATGGATGAAATATCAGATCACTTTAGCGGAGGTGAAAAGTTTTCTGTGATATCATTACACGCAAGGCAGTTGCCTGTCGTTTCATATCATCGGAACCTTCCCCAGCGCCTTTTGTACACATGACGTCAATAAGATGGACTTATTCAATTAGTTTCTTATTACCTTATATCTAGTTTTCTACAACTTACAAGGATGGCCATATGGACATCCTGACGTTATTCGAGGCTGCTAACTGTCGGCTTTCAATTTTCACATGGCATCTTGCATGCATAGTATTTTTTAACAAATTGCCTTTGGATACTAAAAATGTTTTAGCCCAGATAACTTTCCTTTCAACCACATTGGCGTTCTTGTCTGGAACTTCGTAATAGAATCGAAAAAACTTTTGCGACCTTTCAGTGACCGCCGAGTCCTTTCAATATTAGCAATATCATGATAAAATGTTCAATGGGAAGTAAAAAGAAACTCACCTGGTACATCAAATCCTCGATCCGAGGTATCCACCTCAATCTGTCCACCTTTAAAAAGAAAAGAAGCAAGAATGTCAAGACGTCTATGA